AAGGTTCGATGGATTTCTCGTGTACTCTGGATGGCAGTCGTGAGTCAGTCAAGTGTCAAGTAAAGTCGGCGGAATAGCGCTAGCTCCGGTGTGGGGAGCAAACCCTTTATTAATATTAATGTTATAATTTAATGAAAACAAGGGAAGAAACACATGAGAACGAGTTATGCAGCAAATATCCACGACACCCCCCCCCCCCCCTCAGTAATAATTATAATTAGTGTAATGTAGAATTAGATGACCTGTGTTCCTTTCACACACAGTGCACATTCTAGTGCCGTTAGGTGTAAGTTTAATATAGCTGCCTGGTTTCTCTGCCGGAATCACCGAAAATTACATGTTTTCCAGTTACTTGTAAACATAATTATGGTCCCTGTTTTTAAACTTTAAGTGAGCATGTCTGAGAAGACAAGAATTTTGTGCAAGTTGATATCTCCAATTTCGCCCAAAGTTTAGGTAAGATTCCTTTGGGGTGTAGATCGACTGTGCAAAGCCCGCGGAGAATATTCTGAAGGGAACCTTGAAATTGGCAAACACCTCAAAAATGGCCGATAAATCACATCATTCATGGGACTACAAACGAGCGACGCCACATTGTACAAGAATAAGCTACGAACAAATCTCCATCAAACCAACATTGCCTGACCTTAGGAGATTTCTTCGGGCAGCACCGCTTAGCCACGCCAGCATCCCAGAAGACGAGGGCCATCATCCCTTGATGCAACAAATGGTCGTTTTGAAAATAGCCATATTACAAGTGCTGATAAAACAGCTAGCTACGTGTATGTCCTCAATAAGCAAACACTATACATGTATATCACCAGCAGATAGTAGAACACCTCTTTTAGCACTGAGGACATGTCCCCCATCATCCTTTTTGGGTTTTCTTGAAATAAACAATTTTGAATTTTTCCACTCGACCATTCTGAAATACGTCCAAACTCATACCTGCGCAGGAAAGCTCGCCCCTCCGCGACGTCTAGTCAGCAATTTCTACTCCAACACCACTCCCAACGCTGCAGAACAAAGCGTATTGTTGACTCCGACAAGGAAAAGCAGCGGTGATCACTTGTCACTCCAAACGACAAGCTTCTCCTTGCGCCACCAACATTTTTCGGTGCAACAGTTGATGCAAAAGTGACTTAATTTTTGCGTGTAGATTTTGGATTTTACTGCAAGAAAAGTGCTGAACTCACGTGCCTCGTGACGAAGAATAATGCTGTCTGGTGCACGACACAATGCACACGATCACGATCGTTCCTGAGGCGCTATTCGGAACGGACCATGATGGAGGAGGTAAGACGCATTGTATGTCGGACAGTCCTGCATGCTCTGCTCTGAAAATGCAGAAATTATTTTTCTAGCGCTAACCCTATTGCAATGGAAAGAATTCATTGAGATTTTCCCTCTTGCAGTGAGAACTGGTATGCATTTTTTCACACCAACCTCACTCATCCCGAACATGGTTCAACCAGGCGAAGCGCCAGCACCGAAAAAGAGCCCTAAAAGTTGCGCTTTTATTTTCCAAATCCGACCCCAGGCCCGGGAAATTTGAAACTCCCGCTCAATATTGCCAAAAAGAGACTATTTTATCCCTTGCTCACAAGAGCTTCCCTGGTGGTATCGTCTTGTTCCGAGGCAATGTTTGGGAAGGTGCGGGCATTAGCTGCCCTAGGTTTCGCGGAAAGCTCCAAGCGACATCATTTTCCCCGCTTTCTCGCCAGAGTTTTCAAGACCGACGCAGCTCGTCGTCAAAAAGTACTCAGCGTGGATTTCGTGCCGAATTCCGCCCCAAACAATTTAGGCTGACCTCTCGCTAACAATCGAACCCACTGATATGTATCTACCTATACACGAGCAATGGTTTGAGCCTAAAGAAGGACAACTTCACAAAGAGCACACATTCTGAGGGTAATATTTTCTATGTATATCAGTATAAGAACACCATCAAGACGACAATTTGACCAGCAGAAAGACATAAAGTTGCACTACAAATACATCAGCTGTATAAACATAAATAATTGAACAGAAAACTATGTAACTCGATCCCACCAAAAACAGTAAAGCATCCCAAAATAGTATGCGCATACACATATACATGAAGGAGGGCTATGTTGCCACCATACAATGGCTACGCACACGGACATAATTCTGGAGAGCCGAGCATCAGCGTGCGCACACCCCCACACACGCATCTGCATGCACTCGCGCACAACCACACACCCACATATACACATGCACGCGCGCACACTCCTGCCCTGTGCTGTCGAGCCACTGCCACAAGGGTTGCGTGGGCCTCGAAGGCACCGGAAAGAGAATAGGAGAACGCAGTCCCATACACACACACACACGCGCGCACACACACACACACACACACACACACACACATGTACACAACACGTGCAAGTACACACGTGGCAGCTTACTACAAGAGAATCACACAAGTTAACATGTGGGCATGAACTGTATTCACAGTTGGTCATACTGTCTTGGGCATATGAGAGAGGAGCAGGAGAGTGAATACGTGCCTTAGACACAATGCGCTTCGCCATGCTAGCACGAGAGAGAGAGAGAGAGAGAGAGAGAGAGAGAGAGAGAGAGAGAGAGAGAGAGAGAGAGAGAGAGAGAGCACCAGCGTTCCAGCTCAAGCTCCAAATTTCTAGTTGCTTCTCCTGGTCACAGTAAACACAGAACAGGGCTCAGGCAGTGCCGAGGAAGTGCTTGTACTTGGTGCAGTGTCGTGAGCAGGGTAAACTTCCAACATCTCTACACAGTGTAGCTCTTCAGCCACACACGAAGACTCAGAAACCGGAATATACCTTACATGATGATTGAAAGTCCAGCAGCACAACAAAACTTCCAAGGACTGGTTTGGCACTAGCTTCCGTCTCATTGGCGTGTGCCCAGCCAGTTTTGGAAAGAAAGAGTAGACGTTCATTCCTCGTTCAACCTGCAATGAACTGGAGACAACACAAACCAACAAGACAACGATGGTTGTCATCAGGTCATGTGTTCACCACCGCAGTGCTACCATTCACTTTCCTGCTCCAAATGCGCTACCAGGCTGCATGGTATTACTGTCGTGGACATGGAAATCCGGTCGCACGTATAGCGGCCCCAGGGCGCTGGCCATGCAGCCGTAGCACGGTTTATCATGCGCTGCTGATGGTCGCATTAGATCAACATGTGCACTGCATGCAACGTTCTGTACGCGCTGAGGGCGCCGGCCCCGGTCAATCGACTGGATTTCCATGTCCGCGACAGTACGATGTGTCGATAATAGACCGTGATTTGCATTTTCCAATGATTAGGACTGGTATTATTTCTATTTTTCACACTTAGAAAGACAACAAGGGGCAAGATTTTATATGGATTATGTGGTTGTTGGCTATGTCACCATTTGAAAGAGGGTTGCAACCGTGATAGCACTGTAACATGAGTTTAAACCTACGTATTGCATGGTATACTCAACAGTTGGCGAGCAGAGAATTTCTTGCCGAATTCCGCCCCAAGGTTGTGCACAGCAAACAACTTGATATATCATTAGCCCTACCCGTGTGCTATACGTACCCGTTGTGCCGATCGAGCCTGAGCCCTCTACTCGACTCCACGGTCCAATGACATTCGGTCATCATGGCCAAATTCAAGTCACTCAAGTGTTGAGAAGTCGTCGCACACGGCATGCGTCGACATACAAAAATATGTATACGATAGAGAAAGAACTACTGAAGAGCAACCAACTGGTTTCAGCATTCTCCTTCAAAGGATAGGTCGGTGGCAGAGGACCAAAGCCAGACAAAAGTTGGAAATTCTCAG